GGGGATGGGTACCGGAAATCGAACTCAGGTCCTCACATTTGCCAGGCAGGCAGCAAAATGACTGAGCTAAATCCCTGGCCCACCACAAATTTTTTTAATAAATTCACTATTTCTAAAACTGGCATGCAAAAATGTGTAAGTGTATTATCTTTTTTGTGGCTCTGCAGTACTTTAAAATTACCTATCTTTGGGCCAGGGATTTAGCTCAGTGGTTCCACTGCCTGCCTGGCAAGTGCAAAGTTCTGAGTTCAAACCCCGGTACCAATAAATAAATACATACATACATACATACATACCTATCTTTACAATTCAAAGTTTGTGACTCGGAAGAATATTTTGCTATTCATTCATGCACCCTAAGGTATTTATTGAGGGTCTCTGTTCTACTGCAGAGGCCTGGAATATAATGGGGAAAAAAGAGATTCAAGTCCAAGTCTCTATTACAAGAAGGGAGACAATGAACAAATGTATAAGCATTTAGTACTATGTAAGGTACAAATAAGTTCTAGAAAAAAAATGAAGCAGAGAAAGGGGTTGACTGACACAGACATACACTGGGCAGTGAAAGAAAGCCTCTTTGAAAAGGTGACATTTGAACAGAAATGTGAGGAAAGAGGTGGGGCGTGGTGGGGCACACCTGTAATCCCAGCACTCGGGAGGCTGAGGCAGGAGGATCCCTGTGAGTTTGAGACCAGCCTGGGCTACATAGTGAGTTCCAGGTCAGTCTCAACTACATAGTGAGACCCTGTACGTATACATCATACAAAAAAAAAAAAAAAAAAAAAAAAAAAAAAAAAAAAGAAATGTGAATGAGGAAAGGGAGAAATATGTTTGAGGCATTTGAGAGATAAGCCAGGGTTAACAGTTAGTAAGAACTAGATCAGAAGGCTCTGTGGGGCATAGTGAAGATACTAAATTTTATCTGAAATGCAACTGGAAATCTTTGGAAGGTTCTGAGTTGAGGAAAGGTTGATTATAAAGTTATATTTAATTATACTTTATTCTCTCTGATTATCTGAAATATTTTCTTTCCTGGTATTTCCAATCTTTGTAATTTTTAGAGTTGTTTCTTGCCAATAGTCTGCTGGTGGATTTTCATTTCTTATGGTAATATACACTTTATTTTTTCTATCTTGTACAGCAGGAAACAAAAATAAAATATTTTATTTCTTCTTAATCTTTTCCTTGCTTTTGTTGGAATGTCTCTTCTTATTTAATTCTACCCTCAACAACCCACTGCCATAATTTAAAAGTTCTATGCTTACTTTCTTCCTTTTGGCACACATATGATTGATTTTTTTTTTTTCTCTACAGACAAATCCAATTTCAATGTTCATTCTGTGCCCTTAATTTACCTTTCCCCCCTACCTGTCCCACGCAGTGAATCAAAGAGAAAGTTGATTCTGAAGACTGCTTTTATTTCTACATGTAAAAATTCCCAATTTTAACATTATTAAAATTTGCCCAGGCAATTATTCTTCATTTCACAGGTACTTTATCACCATCAATTTAAATACTAATATATTAAGAGTCATTACTCACGACTGTCTTAATTCTGTAACTTCTTCTATATCTATTTCAAAAAATTACAGTTACTCTAAGACAAAACGAATAAAATACCAATTTAATATCATCCTCTGACATCCATGCACAATCCAATTTCCCTTACTATCTCAAAGATGCCTTCCACAACTGTTTTCCCCCCAATTCAGGAGCACATCAAGATTCACAAATCCACACACTACATTTAGGTGGTATGTCTCTACTCTCATAATCTAAAACAATCTCCTTATCCTCTTTTCTTTTTCATGGCACTGAATATTTTGAAGAGGATAGGCCAGTTATACAGGAGAATATCTAAGGGGTATTTTCTCATGAATAATTTCAAATTAAATATTTGCAGCATTAATTTGATGACTTGTATACCTCCTACTGAATGGCCTTAGTACATGTTAGACTCTAACAGTGCCAATGAAAAATCTGACTTTATTATTATAATGGTGACCAAGTTTCCATTTTAAATACACATTTTTCTTTTATAATTAATAGCTAATCTATGGAGTGAAACATTAAGAACTTGTAAATAAACTGTTTTCCAAAACATTTTACTAAATGGTTTTAGCATCTAATGATGAAATCTGCCTTAATGAAATAATTACACTGAGGATACTAAATGGTGATTTTCTGATTCTATATTGGCTGCCATTCTTCTAACACATAACAACAAGCCTATCTTGCACCCACATCTTGGTTCCTAAGTGCCACTTTTCAGTAAAACAAAGCAGAAACCTTTGGAGAAATTCTTATTCACATTCATTACAGAAAAAGTATAAGCTAAGCCAGAATCAACTTCTTATGTCTGAAAATGAGGAAGATAAAAAATTTCAACTGATGCTTGCTTCACAAGCACAATGTTCCAAGTTTGATCCTCAGTACAAAAAAAAAATAAATAAATGAAATAAAGAAGTCATTAATGATTACATTCACTGTGGGGATATGATATATGTATATATCTTATCTAAAGGGAAAGTGAGAGGAGCCCAGAGAAACATTAAAAACAAGATCTTTTTCTCTGAAATATTCATTAAACAGAATTCTGACAAGAATAGAAAAGGACACTATGAAGAAAGGAAACAACAAAGAAGAGTTTAAAAAGTATAACTATATGCGTACTAATAAGACTGAAAAGCTCAAGTAAAAAAAATTAAGAAATGAAATAAATACTAAAGAAAGCAGATAATAAAAAACTTCCTTTCTCAACAAATCCCAGGCTGACAGTTTTAAAGGTGAATATTTATTCATATTCTCAAGAACATTTCCACATACAAATATACATTATGTTCATCTTATGAGGTTAGCATGAAACTGATTTATAAAACAAGAGGGAGGAACCTGTCCCCTATCTTGAGAGGGATACAGACTACAAGAGGATATATATGTGTATCTATTTCTCTTAAAGTACCTACACATACATACACACACACACACACACACACACACACATACACATGAAATGTATTAAATCTGATAAATGTATAGTCATGATTAACTTTATCATACAAATGCAAAGCTCAGCATTTTCTAAAATATCTATCAATACAAATCACCACATTAATAATCCAAAACAGGAAAACCTGAGTATTCTTTTAACCAACAAAAAGATTTTCTTAACTTGAACACCATTTATGATTTTATAAAACAAACAAAACCCCAAAACAAAAATCTTTATAACCAACCAGTAACATAAAGGCATTCTTTAACTTGGTGATAGTTACATACCCTAAACCTGCAGCAAACATTACACAGGAGAAACTTTGGATGATTCCTCTTTTAGGGCAAGAACAAGACAATGTTGAAGGTCATTACCAACATAAGAAACATGAAGCAAAAGAGATAAACTATTGCCGGGGACTTAGCTCAGTGGTTCCGCTGCCTGGCTCACAAGTGCAAGGGCCTGAGTTCAATCCCCAGTACAAAAAAAAAAAAAAGCTATCTGGCAGTGTTTCCTCTTGTATAAGAGTAACCAAAAATTGTTAAGAACTCTACAGGAAGAATGGAATAAATGGGGAGATACTTCGTGTACTTAAATGGGACAAATTAATCGTATAAAGATGTCAGTACTTCCCAATTTAATCTATAAATTCAATGCATTTAAAAGAAAAATTATATTTGAACATTTGAAGGGAAAAGACATAAACAAGTTATTATAAGAAGAATAATTGCCAAACACTAACAAACATATGAAGAAATGTTCAAATTTTATATGAGAGAATATAAATAAGTTGACCTTTGAAGAGTAAAGAATTTGGTCTACCATATAAGGCATTCCAAAATATGACAGTATTTTTAATATGATATTAGCACAAAAACAGAGGCAGACACATATACATACAAACATACACACACATATACATGGTAATTATATATACATGTATCACATACCAAATGTTATATATGCTAAGTACATAAATCATGTACCTGGTAACAGTGGCCTCACAAATCAGAGAAAACATATGGGCAATTTATGGAGCATTGCCGAGAAAATGGGTTCACCAGATGGAGAAAAAATAAAATAGAATCACTACTCATATAAAAGATAGACCCTAGACAGAATAAAGAGCAAGCATAATCATAAAACTATAAAATATAAATGTAAATGATAAAACAATAAAATAAATAAAGAAACTGTAGCTATCTTTGCGGCCCAAAGGTGGGAATGAAGTACCTAAGAAACAGAAGTGTCTCTGGATCTTGATTTTAAATTTCGAGCTTATTTTCTGACCTAATTACAATATTTCCAAAGAGTGATATTTCAGAACTTTTCTTTCTTAGAAATTATGCAAAGAACAAAAATTAATTTATTTTAAAAACTCATTTGATCTTACATTTACTAGATGTAAACTGTACCCTTTTTCATAAATTTAAAATGCATTATAGGATCTTATTGATCATATTTTCCTGTATTTTGAAATATTTTATATAGCATCAGACTGGGAATTATTTCACTGCTACTCTTCACTGTTCATCAATTATTTCCAACTATGCAAGAAAACTGACGAGGAAATTAAAATAAGAAATAAAAGAATGATGGTGTAATGGTAGGCAAAATACAGTAAAAGATCCCTAAGGATGCCCACACACCAACCTCCAGAAATTATGACTGTTCCTTTATGTGACAAAGGGGACTTTGCAGATATGTTTAAGGATAAGGACTTAATTGGGGAGACTGTTTGGTCCTAATCTAATCACAGGGTACTTAAAAGTATTTCTGGGGGTTGGGGTGAAGCCCAGTGGTATACATGCACAAGGTCCTGGTTTGATCTCCAGCACCACAAAGAAAGAAGGGCAGGGTGAGGAAATCAGGTTTATTTATAAATACTAATTTTTCTACACATTATAAAAGTTATAAATAATCTGTCTTTAAGCATATGTACAGTTCCTTTACAAAATATATTTTACATCAATAATACAAAAAAATTAAAGTTTAAATGTGTACTCACTTTAGCTCCAACACTGCAACTACCAGTGCTCCCTGTACTCCCACTTGCAACTCCAGTAAATCTGGCTTCCAATAACTCTTGCCTTCTTGGATCCAGACTATGAAGCTCATCCATTGCACCTAAAAATAATGAGAAGAAATAAATATATAGATACACATATACCTATATTTAGACACACATACTTATTTATACATAACAAAATATGTATGTAGTTATCAATAAAAATTTATAAATGAATGCTACACAGAGATGAAATTAAAAGGCTTTTAAGGCTTTTATAATGTCTACATTTACTTATTAAAACATCTTACAGTATATTTCCATCGTGGTTTGTCTGTTTGGCTGGTTGGTTTTTTGAAACACGGTCTTGCTAAGTATTTCAGTCTGGCCTTGAACTCACTATGTAGCCCAGGCAGGCTTTGAACTTGTGATATCCTCTTGCCTCAGCCTCCCAAGAGCTAGTATTACAGGCATGTGCCACCATGCCCAGTCCATCATGTTTTTTTTGTGTGTATTTGTTTTGTTTTGGAGATAGTGTCTTACTATGTAGTCTAGGTGGCCTTGAATTCAGTATATAACACAAACCAGGCTTGAACACACAATCCTGCCACAGCCTCCTAAGTGCTGGGATAATAGGCATGTGCCACCACCATGCCCAGCTGATTCCCATAACTTCTGACTGCAACCCACAATGATATAGTTTCCATCCAACTGAGTATACAGATACATACATACATATATACAAAAGTCTTCACAAAACAACTTACTTCACTAAAGTAATAAGAGTCCTGTACAGGACTATGGATTGGGGTCCAAGACTATGCTATTTTAATCCATTAAAGAAGTGTGTGTGTGTGTGTGTGTATACAGACAACATATTGGTTTTGAGCCAATAAACTCATTTCACAAGCCATTAATGGGCTACAAGACCACAATCTGAAAATACTGCTCTTGCACTATAATCTCCCTATTACATACTAAGTGATATTACTGCTTATTTTGTTTCTATATACATTAAGTAACTGCATTTTAAATTGTGAAGTTCTGTTTTATTGTAGTCACTTTACTGATGAGTTTTTGTAAAGCAATCCTTATATAAATGATGTAGTATTTACATACAAATCCTCCCTTAAACTTTAAATCATCTGTAGATTACTTAAAATATCTAATATAGTATGAATGCTAGGTAAATAGTTCTTATACTGTATATTTTAGGGAACAATGACAAAAAAATTCTAGTAATGCAGAACAGATGCAACATATTCTCCCCAAATATTTTCAACTCTGCAGTTGACTTTCTTGATGCAGACATGAAGATACGGGACCAATTTTACAATTGATATTTTTAGTTTTAAGGTTCCGCTGGATAGATTAAACATACACATATAGATAAAAAAAGATAACTGAAATAATACCAATTACTAAACAATCACTTTGAGAATGGGGGGGTAGAATCCTCATGTAATTGTTACTGTGCAGAGTAAACAGCCTAAATTCTAATTAAAGTTCAATTAAACCCTTAAAAGTTATTTCATCTGCTAATTCTCTACTGATAAGAACCTAGAAATGACATAAATGAGTGGTTCTCAGAGGGAGCAGAGAGGATATTATCCACATTTTGGAAGGATTTGAGAACTTTTTCAAACTAAACTAGACCTTTCCACATACCTTAACATTCTTCCTCTAAAGTTGAACAATTATTTCCTATATACACTTTACCTTTTAAAGTTCCCTTTCAACCTCATCTGGATGGAGGACTGGTGGATAGTAGCCACCCTTACACAGTTATTTGCATCCCTGTTATTGAATGTCTTCTCCATTCACTCCTCTTTCTTCTATACAGAAAAGAATAATTTTGTGTAAGAAGCTAACTCTTCTCATCTCTTGCTTTTGATCCCATTTCTTAACATCCAAAAGATCTTTCACGTGCAATCCACCTCTTATATCTTTTCAAACCTTGCCACCTTCTGCCATTATGTCTTTTTAAAATATCACCTTAGCTTGAATTTCATAGCCATTTAAAACGTTCCAAAAGCTGATGATTTATATCACATTATCCCTAATACAACCAATGATTTTATCTTCTTCTTCTTTTTTTTTTTTTTTTTTTTTGATCCTGCTACTACATCTGAAACTATTATTCCTCGCTAGGGGTAAAAACAAAAATACACAGTTCTAGTTTTCAAAATTCTACCATACCTTTTCTGTTTCTTCTTCTCTTACCTATGAGTATTCCAAGATTAAATACATGACTTTTTGTTCTTTTCAGACTCCCTGTGGCCGTAAATTTAGGATTCTCAAACATCTCCTGTTTGATAAGTCTTAATCTTAGCACTAGAGTTTATAATCTATTGAATTTTTTTATAAAAAAACTATCAGTTCATTTGCACAGAATTATTCTGAACACATTAAATCACATTTTAAAACTAAAGTACTATATATGGTACTAAGATAAAAACACAAAGACCAAAGGGTCAAGATAACTCAGAAGATAAACCCTCACATGAAATGACTCAACAAGAGCATCTAGACCACTAAATGAGGAAAGCAGTCTTTTATCAAATGGCACTAGGAAAACTGGACATCCATATGCTCCCCCACAAATTTTTGGACTCTTGAAGACTTTATACCATATAAAAATTAACTCAAAATGGAACAAATACCATAAGATCTAAAACTATTAAGCTATTAGAAGAAAGCAGAGGAAAGCTTCATGAAATTTACTTTAGCAGTAATTCCTTGGATATTATTTCTCGACCACCAAAAGAACATAAAATCAAAGAAAAATAAGTTAAACTTCATCAAGATTAAACTTTTTTTTTTTTGGTACCAGGGATTGAACTCAGGTCCTTGCACTTGCAAGGCAGGCGGCGGCACCACTGAGCTAAGATTAAATTTTTGTGCATGAAAGAACACAATCAACAAAGCAAAAAGACAACCCACAGAATAAAGGAACTATCTACTAATCATGTATCTGGTAAGGGGTTGATATTTAGAATATATAAAAAACTCCAACTGCACATTAACAAAAAAACTAAACCAGTTTTAAAAATGAATGAAAGATGTGAACAAAAATTCTCCAAAGACAATAAACAAATGGGCAATAAGCACATGAAAAGATGCTCAAGATGCTTAGTATTAATCACTAAGGCAATGCAAATTATACTTCTCATTTACATCCGGTTAGGATGGCTGCTATTTAAAAATAACATTTTTTAAAAAGTGTTTGCAAGTGCTACAGTTTGGATCTGGAAAGTCTCCCAAAAGCCCATGCAGCGAAAGCTTGGTCCCCAGCCAGTGGTATTATAGGGAGGTGATCAAACCTTTAAGAGCTAGGGCCTAATGGAAGGAAGTGAAGACACTGGCAGCATGCCCTTGAAGGAGCTCTTGGGATTGTGGTCCTTCTTCCATTCTTTCATTTGCCAGTTGCCCTAAGATGAGAAACTTTGCTCTACCACATGATCCCCACCATGATATGCTACCTGGTCACAAGCCCAACAGTAACAAGGCCAAATGATCACGGGATGAAACTTCTGAAGCCATAAACCAAAATAAAGTTTTCCTCTTTTTAAGTTGACTATCTCAGGTATTGTGTTACAGTAACAGGGAGCTAACACAGAAAGGATGTGGAGATCTTGTGCAACACTGATGAAAATGTACAACAGTGTGGTCACTATGGAAAAAGATATAGTAGTCCTTCAAGACAAACACAGAATTCTCATGGGACCCAACAATTTCACTTGTGAACAGATAACAGAAGAAGCAGGGACTGATATCTGTACATCTATGCTCACAGCAGCATTATTCATAATACCCAAAGATGAAAGCAATCCAAGTGCCCATCAATGGATGAATGGATCAAGTATGGTATATATGTATGACAGAGTATTATTCAGCCTTAATATGAGGTAAATCTTAACACATGCTACAAAGTGGAGAACACTGAAGACATTATGCCAAGTAAAATATGCTAGTCACCAAAGGACAAATATTGCATAACACTTCCTAGAATAATCAAATTTACAGAGAAAGAAAGTAGAACAGTGGTTGGCAGAACTTGGAAGATGTGGTAGAATACAGAATTAGTGTTGAGTGGATACAGAATTTCAGCTGGGAAAGATCGAAAAGTTGTAGAGATGAATGGTGGTGACAGTACCACAATAATGCAGTACTTAACATCACTAAAACATAAAAATGGTTAACACAGTAAATGTTGTATTATGAATATTTTAGCACAACTTCTAAAAAATAACTTAAAACTTTAAAAATCAATAAATTGGACTTCATCAAATTTTTGCTACTTCAAAAGACAGCTACAAAATGAAAATACTGGGAAAATACTGTGCTCCACAGTAGGCCTACTCTTTGGCTTGTAACTGGTGATGGAACACGGACACACTGCAGGAAGATGAGGACCTTGAGGACCTCTGAACTGGAGATCGAGTACTGAGGTATTTTGTTTCCATTATTTTTCTCAGCTATACAGCTTCCTCTGGGACCTCAGCCTTCCAATATAAAATCTTAAAAGAAACTACAGCCACAGAAATCACTTTCTAACCCAAAATTCTTGTTCAACATTGCCTGTATCCATTAACACATGCTAGTAAATTTCTGGTGCTTTTTGAGGGGGGCGGTAAGGGGCTCAAACTCAGGACCTTACACTTGCAAAGCAGGCAGCGGAAGCACTGAGCTAAATCCCCAGCAACCTAATAAGTTTTTAAGACTTTTAAAAGAGTAAATATGTGCAAGAATCCCTGGAATAACCCATGGCACATAACAGATGCTTAACAAATGTTAATGTCATTGTCTAGAAATCTCTAAGCTTGAACACTGGAGTACTGCTGATCAAAATGCAGTTCAAGTACCTACAGCAACAGTGCCAACTAACATGCCTATAAGAAATACAAAACCTTGGGCCCTCTGCAGGCCTATGGAGTCAGAATGTGCATTTTTAAAAGATCCCCATTAATGTTTCAAGAAATACTGCTGTAGGGCAAGTATCTGTAATCTTTAAATGGATAAATCATATTTTATTCCTTTCAACACAAGAAGCAAAGTCACATATTTACATAACAAGCAAAATAATTTCTAGAAGCTCTATTGATATAACTCAGGATAT